CGATCCGCCATATCCCTCTGATTTGCTTTATGTCATTTGATGTGATTTTTCCACACTTATTCAGACCTATTCTTTTGTTGGTCATGAGTTAAATTGAAATCAACCAACTTTCCTTCAACGAACCCAGGCCTTCATGTGACCACAGACTGCATCAAGTCCAGTGAGCCTTCCGAGATAGCCCGTCCTCCGCCGATCTTGTATGTGTCTTTAGATAGACTCGAGAAGTTCACTCGGGCTGAGGTGGCATTCCCAGTGAATGTGGGAAGTTGATTAAAAAAGCTTCAACTCAGAATTTTTTGTTGCACCTTTGATACTACTGGTAATGTTTGGTTGACAAATTTGCATATGAAAACTTTTAAGCCCTACTGTACCGACCCAAAATGCCTGAAGTTCGGAAAACCATTTGACTTCTCCTTCCACATAAAGTCATGATTCGGTCCTACTTCCTGTCAAAGTAGAGCCGTGTGCTTCTTTCTTGTATTCCTTTTAGGCATTGACAATCACAGTCAAATTGGCCCAAAAGAATTTCTCGGCCCTTGCAGATGTCAGCAATATTTCCTTTTCATTTCATTTGTGAATTCGGAGCCTCATTCTGACTGGCTGAACCTGGAGAGTTGCGACCTTAACTACGGACTAGGCCTTCTCGGTTGGAGCCTTTTTCGAGTCTTCATTTTGCCTGTGGCTTGTTTGATGAACATGATCACAAATGTTTATTCATTTTCGGTCCTTTTCGAGAATAGGCTAATCTGATACCGAGTGTTGCCATGGCAACATTTTCATGTCAAAAATGCCTGACATCTGCTCAATTTACACGTAGTTCATATCACTTGGGGCATCAAAGACGACACAATTCGCCAAAACTGAAGCGCCCACAACCTGAAAGAGACAAGGTGCACCATTCACCGATCGACGCGATTGCTTCGTCGGTCTGATCGCATCACCGTCCCTCGGCTGCCATTGAACCTGGGCTAATCCAAACGAAAAAGTGAATGGCCGATTATACAAAAAGACAAAATGAAGACGCCATTTTGGCTGAGGACAGGTTAAATTAACACAGAGACTTACCTCTTGCATGCTCATCAATTTGTTGATTGTGTGCGGCAAAAGGCTTTGAAATACTTCGCAGGCGACAAGTCGTGGCTCGAGTACATCTGGACGCACAGCAACGATTTTTAGCCAAACCTCTGAATAAAAAGGTATAAGATGATACCATGTCACTTTTCCTTGGACATTTATAATACATTTAAGGCTATTTACAAGGTCAAAACATCTTCATGGCTCTACTTTCAAGGACTCGAGTGGTTAGAGACTCTGAGCTTTGCTTTATCCCAGTCCCTCAATGATATCCTATATCGTTCTCAGACGTGAGTTAAACATCTTGATTATCAAATTTCGTCTTTGATTAGTTACAATTTTGTAAACTAAATAAAGCGATAAGTGGTCAATATGATGTTAATTGCACTCGTTGATAAAATATTTGATGATCTATAATATATACATGCGAGTAAATGTATGTGCTTTTAGGAATGGTGTATGTTAAGAACACATACATACATAATTTGATCGATCATATGAAGACCAAGATGGTGTGGCCTTTTGTGTGGTCGCAGTCTCCTTTCGTTGTGTAGAAGTTGTTTGACATTGTTTTCGCAACTTGGCCATAATGGTAGGAAGACTGATAGAAACGCACCTTGTCCTGAGTCTATTGTATGCATAATTATTTCCAAAG